CTATATAGTGTGTGTGTGTGTGTGTGTGTGTGTGTGTGTGTGTGTGTGTGTGTGTGTGTGTGTGTGTGTGTGTGTGTGTGTGGATAGATAGATAAACTCCTCAAAAAATGAAAGGAATAAAGTATTCCCTTCATTTTTCTGAGGAGGGTAACATTGTAGGCCTTTATTTTATTTACTCATGCCTTTGCGGCAGCTTGTTCATTTGATAAAACTACATGTAGTCGTGATCATGTTTTTTTTCTCCCCTTCATCGCTCTTAGATGAACTCACGTAATATCTGGGAGAACAGTATGGGTTTTGGACCAGTCAGTGGTTGCCCCGGATTAGTTACACACATGGAGGTGAGTCTTTTTTTTTTCTTGTTTCTTTTTCTTTTTTTCTTTTCTTTTCTTTCCTTTCCTTTCCTTCAAAAAAATTATGTATTTATTTTTTTATAATTAAGTTTCAACTAAATATTTTTGACCACTAAGAATTTTGTGTATCATATAGGGTTGAATCTATGAAGACTCATAATCGAGGTCAGGCGCAACTGTCTCCACTATGAGACAGCATTAATGGTGCACTACCACAACTCCGATTGGCTGCCTCAACCGTAGAGTAGTGGAATATGGTCAACTCGGACACTATTTTCCCTCGCCTACCCCAGAATGTGGGAAAAGCTCTGCCGGAGGTGGGAGTTTAAACTCTTTCTGACAGGAGATTCTGTCAGACACGCCCAACAAACCCTCACAATACGTTTGAGCCTGCCAGGTCGGACCGGCATCTTCCCCACCATGGGAGCCAACTCACCACCAGGTGGTGATCAGTTGACAGCTCCGCCCCGCTCTTCTGTTCGGGGAGGCCGTTCCTCCCAATCATACCCTTCTGGGTCTCACTGTCATTGCCCACGTGAGCATTAAAGTCCCCCAGCACAACAAGGGAGTCCCGAGCAGGAGTTCTCTCCAGCACACCCTCCAAGGACTCCAAAAAGGGTGGGTACGCTGAGCTGTTGTTTGGTGCATATGCACAAACAACGATCAGGACCCGTCCCCCCCACCCGAAGGCGGACTGAGGCTACCCTCTTGCCCACCAGTCTGAACCCCAATGTACAGGTACTGAGCTGGGGCAATAAGTCTGCCCACACCTGCTCTGCGTCTCTCACTGTGGGCAACTCCAGAGTGAAAGAAAATCCATCCCCTCTCGAGAGAACTGGTAACAGAGCCCAGGCTGTGTGTGGAGGCAAGTTGGACCATGTCAAGTCGGAACTTCTCTGCCTCACACATCGGCTCGGGGTCCTTCCCTGCAAGAGAGGTGACATTCCATGTCCCTAGAGCTAGCTAGCATCTGCAGCCGGGGATGGGACCACCACCTTTGGCCACCGCCCAGTTCACTTTGCACCCGACCCCTTTGGCCCTTCCCATAGGCGGTGAGCCCATGGAAAGGGGGATCCATGTTGCCTCTTCGGGTTCAGCCCAGCCGGACCGCATGGGTGTAGGCCTGGCTACCTACCAGGCGCTCGCCAGTGAGCGCCACCTCCAGGCTTGGCTCCAGAGAGGGGCCCCGGTGTACCACGTCTGGACAAGGGAAGATGCCGTCCTATTTTTTTGTTCATCATCAGAGTCGATGAGCCTTGCTTTGTCTGGTCCCTCACCTACGATCTGTTAGCCAATGGTTACCCTACCAGGCGCATAAAACCCCAGACAACTTAGCTCCTAGGATCAATTGGGCACACAAACCCCTCCATCACAGTAAGGTGATGGCTTTTTATGCATATTTTTAAATTCTAATTTTATGTTCAAGGCAACGTACTATGTATTTTTATCTTTCATTTAAGTGCAAACAAGTTAAAGTCTGAGAATTAAATGTGAAAATTAAAGAAACAAAATAAAATTCTTTTCATGTAATCATGAGCTGTGCTATGCTTCAGTGGTGCACAAGCCAAAACATGTTGGGAAACACTGATCTGGAGTTCGCACCAATGAAGTTATGTTATACTGTTTTGGTACCATTTGTCACTATTTATTTTCACTTATTTTGAATTAGCAAATAGCACTGGCTTATTTTTTGTGAATGGTCAAGAAACACTTAACACGTCTCAATAGGAATACTTCAGATGGGACAACTTTTGTCAGAAAAAGATTTAAATTGTAAATTTTATATTTTTTCTTTGTCTACAATTCTTGGAAGTGAACAGGGTCAGGATAACAAGCTTGGATATTGTAATTCTAATTATAAATATTAGTTGTTGATTTAAGAAATTTCCTCTCTGAAGGCATTGGTGTCAAACATACGGCCCGAAGTTCTAAACCAAATTAGGGTGCAAAATAGAGCACATTACCTGAAATTGACTGATTTGCAACAAGATGGTAATGAATGTTTTTTTTCAGTATATACTTTCAGTTATTTATACGAAAACATTGAGAACATTTTAGACTTAGCTGTTATTTATGGCTTATTAGGCCTCCAATATACTGCACTCAAAGGGTCCAGTTGAAATCACATTGTGATGATTGAGGCCTCTGAAATAAAATGTTTGACACCCCTCCTCAAGAAAAATCTGGCGCAGGTTCTTTGTGTTATTAGATTATGGTTATTTTCGTTTTAATACCCCGTACCTGTTTTTTGCTGCCTCTTCAGGATAGTCCATTAATGTCAATAATAAAAGAGGTGGGACTTCCAAAACGTCCGTCTCAGGGGAGGAATGACGAAGGACGGGATCTGTCAGAAAGGGTTCCACCTCCACGCTCGTCTTCTCCTGTGATTGGCTCCCCTCCAGTAAGGGCAGTGCCGATTGGAACTCCACCGAAGCAACCGTTGGGTCACTCCTTAAACCATCAGGTACAAACTTTGAACAAGACAATGTCTTAGGAACATGCACAAGTCGACATGTATGAGCTAAATAAAATATTTAGTGACAGAAATTGCCTAAGTCATGTGATAATTTGGATGCGACTGTCTTCAGCTCGCCAAACCAACCTATGTGTCACATTCATATTTCTTGTTCTTGACAGACTCTTTAATTTATCAAGATTCCAAGCAGCTAACTGTCTTCTTTTTCTGTTTTGAAGATTCATCATCCCACTGCAGTTCACGTGAGAGCCCCGATCCAACACCGATACCCTCCTCCTTTTCCTGAACGTTTGTCACCCAACACTCTGCTCAATTTCGCTGTGAGTTTTTTTACCCACCTTCTCTTGATGGATTTCAATGTTTCTCTGACATTATTCAATTTTAACAACAAAAATCAACTATTTAGGTAAATAATCAATTACTACAAAACATAGACGTTCTACTCACATTGTTTTACACCCGAGTCAGAGTCACTTGATTTTGAGTATCTGACGAAACCAAGTCCCGATCTAATACCCCAGTAATGCATTACTACTACTACTACTACTACTACTTACTATAGTAATAAGAAAAGATAAGAAAACCTTAAATAGTCTCACAATGGAGAAATTCCCACTACACAGCAGTAAAGTTATGAGAGGAAGAAGTAGAAGAACAAAATAAATAGGAGCTGCTGGAAAGGCAGCCACTCTCGCGGCGCCATCTTGAAGTCAAAATAACAGAACAAAACACATTAGACACAGACAGTCGTAATACTCAATTTTATTTTTCGGCATTTGTCAGGGCATCCAAGGTCACCGTACAACATACTGTATTTTCCGCACGAAAAGGCGCACTGGATTCTTAGGCGCACCTTCAATGAATGGGCTATTTTAATTTTTTTTTCATATATTGCACGCACTGGACTATAAGGCACAATCTACAAAGCATCCACTAGATGGAGCTACATCCCTTCATTTGACTCGAGAGGCGTTCATGACCGCCTCCAAAAAACTTAAATTAACAATTACTTCAGTGAAACTACAAAAATTGAAAATACAGTAATGTATCAAAACAGAAAACCACAAAATAAATTTCCTTGAGCATAGCTGCAACAGAACGATCAGATGTCAGGAAATTGTAGGAGACTGGACTGTCTCAGAAGTGTTTATTTATTCCTTTGTTGTGTACTGTATTCACAAACGAGGAAATCACAAAATAAATTCTGTAAGGGGGGCTATAGAATTTATTTTGTGATTTCCTCACTTGATTTTCTGTTTTGATGCATTATTTTCCATTTTTGTAGTTTCAATGAAGGAATCATTAATTTACATTTTTCCAAGGCGGTCATGAACGCCTCTCGAGTGGAAGGAAGAAGAGAAGGCACGGAGACGGACGGACGTAACTGTATTTGTTGAGACTGTGAAAAACATTCATAAGGCCAAACTAAAAGGATAGTGTGTTTCCGGTAACATGAAATTTCAGCATAGGATCGGTAGATCGGACAGTTTTTTTTTTTTTTTTTTAATCTTTTTTTTTTCCCATCAAAAATTTAAACAAAATAACCATAAAACATAAAACAAGAAGACATTGAACCCCTTCGGCGGCGAGCAGGTTGGGTACCGGGCGGCTGGGTGTTAGGTTCCGAGGTCGGCCGGGTCGCGATGGCACCGGTGGGGAGAGGTCCCCGACGCCGGCCGCGGCCCGGCCTGGACTAGAGTAGCGCAGACTAGGCGGACGGTGCGTCGACGAGCGCGCGGACTGAACCCGCCGCTCGGCGCCGCCGCCATCTATTTAGTTTTCTGCCCGCTCCGGAATCGGGGGGCCGGGGCGCGCCGCCGCCTCTGCCGTCCTCCTCCGCCGTCCTCCTCCGCCCTCGGGTTTTTACTCGGCCCGTGGTGTTCATCAAATAGTTTGTTGAATTCTGTCGATACATCAATGGATGCTATTTTCTTAACATTACGGTGCGATCATGCGACTGTAACACCGAAAACGCGGTTTAAACTGTCATCGGAGATCGCGGCCGCCGCCATGATTCAATGTTGATGACAGACGACAGGGCAAACGACTCACGCGCTCAACGTGAATATCGCGAGAGTTTGCACCAATGTAAACCCTCTACACAAAAATGTAGAGGGTTATTTGAAAAAAATGCCGACCGTAAAGTTTTTTTTCGATGTAGAAATTCTCGCTCGGTCGGGTTACCGGAAAAACACTACTTTTTTTTTCTCCGCCTAAAGTGTGCGTTTTTAAAAAAACAACACCCCAGATCTCCTTTTTTCGGAGCTGCAACAAAAACTTATTTAATGAAGCAGCGACACAGTTCACTGAACCAACAGCAAGTTATAACATTGTAAGCATTTCTCCAGCAAGGAGCCATCTTGGGGTCGACATATTACCGTAATGACCCTACACAAGGAGCACCGGATTTTAAGGCTTTCAGAAAATGGAAGACTTTTCAGTGCGCCTTATAGTGTGGAAAATACGGTAATTAAAAATCAGTGCAACAAAATAATAGAACATAAAATGGCAAATGATATGGGCAACATTAAAGTAAATGAACATAACCTAAATGAAAATGGCAAATGATATGGGCAGCATTAAAGTAAATGAACAATCCTGAATAGATGTGTTTTGTGACTTGTTTTAAAGAAGGATAATGAGTGTGTGTTACTGAGGTTACATGGTCATAAGATGTGGGGCAAAGCGGCTGAAGGCTCTATCCCCGACCGTGGTCAGATGGACAGAAGAAACGTAGAGATAGAGGGAGGATAAAGATCTAAGGGAACAAGAGGGTAGAGCAATGTGAAGGACCTCCAAGAGATATGGCGTTGAAGGTGCAAATCAATATTTTGTTTTGATGCTGTACCGGACAGGCAGCCAGTGGAGTTATTGTCCAGATTGGAGTGATGTGGTGGGTATAGGGGGTGCTCGTGACAATACCAGCAGCAGAATTCTGGAGAGGTTGTAAAATGTTGTCGTGACTTGAGGAATTGCAGTAGTCCAGGCGGGACGTGACGAGGCTATGAACAAGTATGACACTAATGTGAGGGCTGAGGAATGGTTGGAGTCGATTAATGTTACATAAGTGAAAGTATGCAGATCCGGTTGTTATGTGTGATTGAAAGGACAATGTGCTGTCTCGGATGATGCATAGACTCTTAACCTGAGGAGAGGGGGAAACGGTGGTATTGTCAAGTGTAATGGAAAAACTGTTAGTTTTGGCTAGAATGCACTTGGAACCTATCAAAAAAGGATTTCAGTTGTATCACTGTTGAGTTGAAGAAAATTGGATGAGAACCATTGTATGACTTGGGAGAAGTACTCAGTAAGGTAGGAAGAGTGGCAGTGGGTTGGGTGGAAAGGTAGAGCTGGGTGTCGCCACAAAAAAGGACAAAATCCAACTGCAAACATTGGTTGAAAACGACGAGCAATAAGCACACATGTCGGAAATCGTCATGGCAACATACTTTTTCTGTGCACAATAACAAAATGAGGATTTGAAAGATTCATTAATCCACCAAAATCGTACCTTTGGCTACAGTGCAACATGGGAATTTCGTTAAGGTGAACTGTTTTGAAGATAAACTTTAACATAGTTATTTGCCGACGTTTCTTCATCCCCATCCTCATTTGCTGTTGCAGGCAGCGTACAGTCCATTGACAAATTTAGTACCGTATTTTTTGCATTGAAATAAGACTGAAAAAGTGGGGGTTGTCTTATATTCGGGGTCTAGACATTATACCCATTCACGACGCTAGATGGTGCCAGATATCATTGAAGTGAATGCTAAACTTGACTCCCCATGCCAAAGTGAACCCCTGTCACGAAGAATAAAAATAAAAATAGCGGTAGCACGAAGAAGAAAAATTAAAAATAGCGGTATGAAAGAAAAGAGAAGAAAATAATAGAAGAGATAACAGAAAATGGAGAAACGTAGCGACAATCTGGAGAAAAGCGGGTCGAAGATCGGCCAGGTTAACTGGCAGCTGAGGAGAAGTTATGATGTAATTTACATTTCAAAAATCAGAAGCCATTCATTTACGAATGTGATTGCACTTTAGTTTAAATATTTAAATGTTCAGATATTAAGATTTGAATGAGGAAAAATAACATGCTTTTTCTCTCAAATATATTGTTATAATCATTTGTTTCAGATGTATTGTAATTATTTTCTGTATAAAAATTAATTTGGTGCTCAAAAAGTCTCAAACTTGAGTCTTGAAAAAGAGGGGGTCATCTTATAATCAGGGCCGTCTTATATTCGGGTCAATACGGTATCTGGCTGTTACTGCTTGCATTGGGCTCAGTTTTTTTTGGGGGGGGGGCACCCTGAATAACGGAACAGCACATTTGAATGTTCTGAGTTTCCGAACAGAACATTGTTCAAAAGTACCATTCATTTAATCAGAATGCACCAAAAACAGAAGTGCCTGTAGATAGTCCAACTGGGGACACGGTGCGCCAGTGCTATTTCGTCATCGTGGGGAAAAAATAAATAAATCAATCAATGTATCCTTTTTTACAGTACTACTGGTTGATTTCATGGTGCCCGAAATTCATACGGACAAAGAACCTGATCAACTTTTTATTTAGTTAACATTTCAATTGTTTCATTTTGTCACTTTCTATAATAAATAGACTATAATAAATGTCCCATGATTTTTTTTTTTTTTTTGCCTCCCCTTCATGACCCTCCACCACAAGAACTCACCACTGTGTCGTGGACCATTTTCTCCAAGAGTCAGTCCAGTGCTGTCACAGATTCAACGGGCCCAGCTTCTCAACTCTCAGGTCAGTAATACAGCTATACCAGTATATGGAATGTTTTTTTTTTTTTTTTCATCAATTGCTAAATAATGTGTTTCCTGGAAAGTTTTTAATTCTTTCACACACACACACACACACACACACACACACACACACACACACACACACACACACACACACACACACACACACACGATTGGCTGTCATTATGTTTGGGCTTGTTTAGCATAAGCTGATTGGCTCCCATTGAAGTTGGGCGGGCTAAGTAAGCAGCAGTGAGGAGAGGAGAGGTGAAAATGGAGGAGCATGTGAGAGTTCTCGGAACAATGAATGGACAATTTACATTCCAAAAACGCCCTGACGGCACTATTGATAAAGGTAGTGTTGTGCCTAATTTGTAAGAAGGAGTTTACTTACCACCGAAGCAGCTCAAGTTTAGCCTACCACATCAATGCAAAGCACCCAGTAGCTAGTGCAGCCACGGCTAACGTTAGCAACGAAAGCATTAGCAATCGAGGGAGCCATAGCAAAGCTCTTCGCCAAACTAAACTCGAGGAGAACACCCCACGTACAAGGCATGAAGTCAGCATAGCTGCTGTGTCCTCTGTAGCCTATTAGAAGTGGTTGATGTTTATTTCAGCACTTCATTTTATCATGATGAACAGTTTTATTTCTGAAGTGCTAATTTACAGCACTGTGCTTTAAGCGTCTGTTTTATTTATTATCTGAAGCAAGTTCCGTGTTCAGTACTTGTATTGCTCAGAAAAGTGTTCTTAATTTTGATATATTAACCTAAGCACTTTTTATGGACCTGGTGTTCTCTTTTATTTTTATTTTTTAATTATTTGGAGATTTACAAAAACAAAACAGTGATATTCCCCCTGGTGGTCGAAACTAAAGGTTGCAGGTAGGATTTGGGATTAGTCTGAAATACAGCAGAAAGTAAATGGCTTGGACTGCATCTGTTCAAGTCTGTTTAAAAACAAGGAAATACTTTACAATACCACTTTTTTGTGATGTGAATCTTGATCTGCCTCAGTGCTCAATAATCAGAGATGAAAGTCCTCTGGATTTTCCCGGAATTCCGGGTTTTTCAAATTTTTATGAAAATTTCTCAGGAGAATTGAGGAAAATTTGCATAAAATTAATCCGGATATTAGTTGACAACATTGAACGAAGACGCGTTTGAGTTTTAGCATACAGTAATCCTTCGTTTATCGCGGGGGTTACGTTCCAAAAAGAACCAGTGCTAAGTGAAATCCGTGAAGTAGGATTGATTAAAAAAAAAAGAAAAAAATGTGAGGGACGAAATTTGAAATGTGCTTTATATAAAACATGCAGCACATTTGACAAAGTTTTATTTGGAACTTGATAGCCCGCTTTATTTTTTACAGTTATTATACAAAACTGAACTATGTATTCCAGGGGTGGCCAACCCCTGGTTCAATACAGCTAACGGGCTTTCACACGACAAGCGTCGAAAAGACACGCTTGCGGACATGTTCGTGCTGAAGCACGCACAGCAGAGAGCAGCCGAGTATCTACTGCTGAGGCTCGCTTAGCTTGAGTGGCATCGCCACAACAGTAATACCCTCGCCTCGCATTCTCATGGCCTCGCCATGTCTTGGAGATTTCGAAATTTCGGCCCAAACGGAAGCCACAAAGGGTACACGTGTGCACACAAAAGGAAGATTAATCATTTAATGTCGAGGAGTTGAATAGCGTTTTGTGTAAACTAATTCATCGGCCAAGTGTGTGTGCGAGCGCGTGTGTGTGTGTGTGTGTGTGTGTGTGTGTGTGTGTGTGTGTGTGTGTGTGTGTGTGTGTGTGTGTGTGTTTTTATATATATATGTAATGAATTTAAAACGAAAATAGGGGTTTTCTCTGCAATTTTTAGATGACATTAAAATATTGATTAAGTAGATCAGTTAATTCCAAATCATAATTAATCTCACAATTTTTAATCTCTTGATAGCACTAATATACACACACATACATACATACATACATGCATACGTACATACACACACACACGCACACAATGCCATGGAAAACTAATTGCCTGGAGATGGGTCATGAAGCCTGGTACTAAACTGTTTTGGGTTTTTTTTAACTGCAGTATCAATAAGCTATAAAATTTTGAAGCATTGGTACTGACAACAAAGATAATTATAAAGTGATTCAACATTTTACTCGCATAAAACATGTTTCATTCATTTGTATTTAACAATACAACAAATGTACTGTAGAACAATATAAAATAACACAGTGAATGACTAAAAATGAACCCCTCAGGAATAATTGGTTGATAGTAACAACAAGTAACAAGTCAGATTCCTGACCTAAGCCCAATTTGGATGCTGCGGCATGACGTTAAGAGAGTCATTCACAATCAGAATTATCTTTATTGGCCAAGTATGTAGAACACACAAGGAATTTGTCTCCAGTAGTACAGGCTAGTGATGGGACGAGCGACACTGGTGCGTCAGCACAGTGCAGAGAGCTCAAGAGTGAAACCCCGTATCGGTGCGTGCATTGCTTAAGAAAGAATCACGTGACCAATACAGGAACTGACTCGTTTGAATATGCTGCGCCAAAGTGTGTTTATAAGGACACAAACTGTCTCAACATGTCGTGGGTTTGTTGGCTGGAGCTTTGCGAAATTATGGATCATTCTAAGAAGTTTTCCCCAGTGTGGAATAATTTTGATCTTGGTAAATCTTTTTCTCCTTTGAGCATTGTTTACTGTTACAGACCGTTTTTTTTACGGTGGTGCATTGCACTCACTTTATCAGTTTACCTGTGATACATATGATAATCAGTTTAAGAGCCTTACAGTTGCTTTATTCATTTAACTGGTGTCTCAGAGGAGAAATTGCCTTGGAGCAAAGACACTCCAAAAACTTTTGTTCCTCAATAAAAATTCATAAACTAATCACTTTTTTGTCTTTTATTTCACATGATTTAACATAAATTTTCTACGTCAGTTAAAAATCTGAATTGTAACTCAAATTTGCTGTATTTTACATACCAACTCAGTTTAAGATTTATATAAACAATGAATTTCTTTACCTGCAATGATTTTATAACTACTGCAGGGGTCACTATTGGGTGACCAACACAGTGTCAATACAGCGCTGACATAGTTTGTGAAGTGGGTCAATACACTCCTTGAGGTATCATCGTCCCATCACTAGTACAGGCTACACTAGTATCATCACAAAGAGAGCCCCAGAATATTGCCTAAATTTGTGTTTGTTTTTTGTTTTTGTTTTTTTTTTTAAAAGAGAAACATTCCAAAATTCATCCTGACCATTGTGCAGGTCTGAACCACAGTCAAGGTTTGGTTGAGGATATTGCTGCAAGGATGCTCAACTAAATCTGATAGTTCATCAACTTTTTCCACCCTGCTTTGTGATATTAATATGTTGTGTTCAGTAAAAATATGGATACGTATAATTCTTTGGTTTATTGTTAATTGAGTTTATTGTTGTGATGAGAAAATGAAGATCAGATTATACTTTATGACCCTTTAAAAAAAAAATCCAGTTAATTCCAAAGGGTCCATGTGTTTTTTGTTGTTGTTTTTTTCTTGCAAATTGTATGCATGTAATGACCGCACTGGATCTGCTGACCTGCATGACTTTATTTACATCACACACTTCCCTGTTTTTAGGTGGCCGGAGTTCCCCGTGGTGGTCCGGTGCCTACTTTGTTACCAGCTGGTGGTGGTTTCAGACCATTTTTCGGTGGCCCACACCCAACACTCGGTCATCGAATGGGGCCCCCGCATCCTCATGGTCATCCCAACCACATGCCACCAATCGGGCATAACGCCACTCATCTCCATCCTCAACACCGGCGCATACTTACCCAACGCATGCAAAACAGGGGCGGGTAAGTTCTTGTCTGAAGTGCATTTGTATTTTCAACAATACCAGGTCTCATAAAACCAATCCGATTTATACCATTTGATTGCCATGAAGAGACCGAAGCAGAACCGGAGGGGACTGGCGCAACAGGGACCCATACAGTAACCTGATGACTCAGAAAGAGAAGGAATGGGTCACCAAAATCCAAATGATGCAGCTTCAAAGCACTGACCCTTTCCTGGATGACTACTACTATCAGGTTTGTTAGGATGTAAAAGTGTTGTGTATTCTGTGTTGAAACTTTGAATCGTCTATTATTTATTTATTTATTTTATACACTGGAGCCTCTGCAGTTTTATAGTTGAGCAGTACAATTTGACTACATTTTCTGGGAATATATGCCTCTAACTCACACAAAACTTGGTGATTGGCCCGCATCACAGGAGACATCACGTTGTGAGCATAAATGGCTTAACACGGTGTGTGTTTTGCTTTTTGTGTGGTTTTTTTGGGGTTTTTTTTTTTTTTTGGGCAACAGTTTTTCCAAAAGAATATGCTCCATATGTGTGACATCATGCAAAACTTCAGTGAGCATTAATTCAGATTGAATTACTTTCCTTCCATTCCTACAGTCGAAATAAAATACCAAGTCTAAAAGCAATGTCAGTGGTCATCCCAACAGCGATTTACGCCTGTGAGACATGGATGAAGACAGCCAATATTACCAACAAGTTAGATGTCTTCCATCGGCGTTGCCTGAGATCCATCCTGAGGATTTCATGGAGAGACCACATCACCAACGAGGAGGTGATGAGGAGGGCAGGAGTAGCTGAATTGTCAGACATTGTCTCTGAAAGGAGAAGGAAAATGATTGGCCACGTACTCCGACTGCCAAGAGAGAGACCGGCAAGTGTGGCCATGGACTGGATGCCAGAGGGTGGAAAGAGGAAGAGAGGTAGGCCAAAGAAGACGTGGAGACAGACTGCCAAAGAAGACCTCAGTGAGATGGGTGTCAGCTGGCATGGAGCAAGAAGGGTCGCCAGTGACCGGAACAGATGGAGGAGACTCGTCGCCCAATGTTCCAAATAGGAGCGGGCGGAACTAACTAACTAACTAACTAAAAGCAAACAAAAGAAAAGGTCAACCAGGATTTTATTATGTTCAATCTCAAGGGTTCCACTGTGAAAAAAAAAAGCGCACATTTATGCCGTCGAATACGATTGAAGTCCGAGCCAATCAAACTATGCTTTAATTTACTGTTATTATTCTCTGATCATAGTCCATCCTTATATTTTTATGTAGCACTACTATGAAAAGATGGAGAAACGTCAGGAAAAAGAGAGAGACAGCAGTAAAAAAGAGCACACTACCAAGCTCATCACTCCACAAGTTGCCAAGATTGAGCACACCTACAGGCCAGGTAAATGTAAACACGAGCAGAACCGGAACATGGGCCTGTCCTGCGGGTACACTCACACTCTCTCCCACACTAATGCCCCCTTGGGAAACAGGCACGGCAGTTATACCATCTTAATTAGTTTAATTACTCTTGCCAATGTCGTTTGTTCATATAAGATGTACAATGACATTTAAAGATCACAAAAATGTTGCTTTTTAGAGATTTGCTTTATGCTCATACTGTAATTCAGTGTTGCCCAACCAGAGCTATGCGAGAACATTGCAGGGGTACGTACACGAAAACTTTTAATATTTTCCAGATCAATAATCTGTGCCACAGCTGCTCCAAAATCGCATCAGCTGCGTATACACACTTAAATCCAAATGGCTGATTAAAACAAAGGCAGCATTGATATTGTTGGTCTGAATGTCATTCTTGTTCAGTGGTGTGGCGATACTGCAAGAATTTGCTTTGTGATGCTTTGTTGGATCAGAGGAATCCAGGCCTGGAGTTTCCCAATTTGTAGTTTGACGATGTTTGAAATCCAAACCCAATTCCAATGGAGTTGGGACGTTGCATCAATAAAAACTGAATACAATGATTTGCAAATCATGTTCAACCTATATTTAATTGAATACACAACAGCAAATAATCATTGACTTATAATTTTGTGGCTCTAACACATTCCAAAAAAAGTTTGGACAGGGTCTTGTTTAAGACTGTGTGACATCACCTCTACTTTTAACAACATTCGATAAACATTTGGTAATTTAGGACACAAATTGTTGAAGCTTTATTGGTGGAATTCTTTCTCACAATGGGAGACAGTATTACGACAGATCTGTTATGCACACTTTCCAGATTGTAGTTCTTTATAGATATAAAATAATTATGAGCTCTATTTAATGCATTTTTTTTCTCACAGTTCAATTTGCAGGGTCTTTGGGTAAATTGACAGTGTCAAGTGTCAACAATCCACGTAAAATGATTGACGCAGTAGTGACCACGCGCTCGGATGACGAGGTACGTTTCATAGTGTGTCTGCGTGCATTTCTCTTTGATCAGTCACTCCATCGTTCTCAGTTGGTAGAGCTAGACGAAGAGCCTTGCTTGTCCTCCATATACATTAGATACACACCCATCAATCACAATCCCATAAAGCTGGGCACCTCTCCATTTAGCAAATCCACTCCGTTGTGATAATTTGAGGAACGTCATCAAAAAGTTCTAAAGATGCACAGATATTTTGCTCCCAAATGGATGGCACATTGACGGCGTCTGTTTTAGTGTTGATTAAATAACAAATTGTTAGTTCCCTTCGGAAACACCATCTTTCATATCTCGTCGAATAATTTTTCTGACATTCTGTGTGTTCTTATGACCAGGAGAAGAGGGAAAAGCAGGTTTGGAATAAAAGACGACAGATTCTCTACACTGTGGAAAAGGTCAGATGACAATTGGTTAACCTTCCACATATTCACCCCGAGTGCTGAAAGTATATTTTTGCTCACCCTCTCCAGATTTACAGTTTGCTGCTCGAAGTTCAAGACTTTGAGAAACGGTTTGTCCATGCACCAGAGGAGGACAGGGAGGCTTTACTGGAACAGCACAAAACCAATACCATGCAGCTTTGTAACTCTCTGCAAGAGAAGGAGTGGGACGACAGGTAGGGATAATTTACAGTCAAGCCTGGCTATTCGCGGGGGTTCGGGACCACGACCGACCATGAATAAAAAACAATTTTGATAAAACAGTTTTGAGTCGTAGACAGTCGTGAAATGTATAGACTTGCTTATATCATTCATTTGAACCCCAAGTGACTCCATATTTTCAGCTTGAAACCATGGTCACTTTATAAACTGTTACCTATATGCCTCAAAGCGATACAATGTACTTTAAGTTGTGTTTTGAAAACAAAGGCTTATAATTAAATTTGCTCAGTTTATGTTACAAGCCGACAGAGCAAATGCGGTTGGTCCGATTTACATGACTGATTATACTTAGGGAAACTTTAAAAACTTCAAAAATTTGTTGATGTAGCTTAGCAATTTGTCCATTGTTTACCTTATTGGCCGTGATTAAAAGCATTTAAAGGTTGTTGAATAAAAATAGCAAACTGTCGTTACGCAGACAGCTACACCAAAAGCCGTGAAGAAATATTAGGCTCACGTTCACTGGTGCCATCTATGGCGACTGACTGCTGTTCACTTAACAAGGTCATTGACTGGCATCAGTTAGCTCGCCAATTCCTTTCAACAAGGCATTGTGACTGGCTGAAGCTTTGAAACGTAAAATCCACAGAAGTGAGGATAGACACAGTGACCCCAATCTTCTGCGTTGGTTTTCATGTATCAGATGTTTGAAGAAAAGGCTGGTTCACTTTGAGAATGAAATTGCGATTCTTGTACACATTTATTTCAGATTTTTTCTGGAGATTGTTTCAAGAAGTACTTGGCAGTGAAATATTTTGGTGTAATAGCAGACAGTTAGATAAATAACAGAATTACTCGTGAAGATAACTTCTTAAGAAAACAAACGAGACATGTAATCATGTAATCCTTTTATAACCAGCACGCAAAGCAGTGCCAGTGTAGCACAGATATTGTTTACTCAGCAATGCTAATCTGGAGCTTCTGAATTATGTACTAGCTAATTTGGAGCGAGTCACAAAGAATAACGCGACCCATGACAAAACTCTTGTCAACTCTGCATTTCCGTGCATCTGGGTTATTTTAGTGGACTTGGACAATAGCGTTGTCACGATCGAATCATTTTAGAATCGATTATCCTCACGTCTCTTACAGCGAATAACAGAGTACACAGTGGGCCACATTTCAAATCACAGTCACTAATACTCACATCCTAATGGGTATACTAGAGCCATTGCCTGTGTGAGAATGAGTGGGATGCATCAGGAAGGGCATCCAGTGTAAAAACTATGCCAAACATATTACAGTGGCGACACGGGATGAGACATGCCTCTAATAGGGAACTCTCACTGACTGCAGTGTCAATTTTCCACCGCGCTAATGAACTGAAAAGGTGGTTTCGATGGAGTACAAATGGACTGGACTGAGTGGCCTGGAAATGTCTGTGTGGGAGGCGTATAATGGTGCAGGCGAGACCTCAGGACAAAAAAAATAGACCGTTTTTTGACTTTTTTCCAATTGCCACACACCTGGGAAGAAACATAACATTGCTTTCCCAATATTATCAACGTAATAGATTTCCTTTCTGTAATGTTAGTTTTCTTTCACTAACACTTCACCACCAAAAGCACAAAAATGTGTTTTAAATAAGGCTACTGGAAAAATAGTAATTGATATTTTTATGTATTGTGAAGCAGCGACATTACATGATAGCTCCCTCCGATCAATGGCTGCACAAAAATAAATTTGCAATATTTTTAGTGGTCCTCAGATGGGCGCGTTTCAGAAAATTGTTTTGTTATTCAAATGGTGACTTGCGAATCAGTGATGATTGACTGTGTACTTGAATGAATGAAAAATGTTAACTTACCTACATAGTACGTAGCACGCACTAATGATTTTCCTCCTGCTCTGTGGAAAGGGTGAGTGATGAGCGGTGTGTCATGATCATGTCGGTGAGGAAAGGCAAGCGGCTCATCTCCAGGCTCATCCCCTACCTACCCCCGTCTCATGCTGCCGCTGTTGTCATGGCAATTGCCCGCAACCTTCCGACCCTGGCCAAAAAGGACAAGCAGGACCAGGTAATTAAAACATTTTATCAGCATATTGCAATAGAATAAGGGTATCAAAGAAGTGGCCCCCAGTCCACAACCCACCCACTCACGTTGGAATTTGAAATTGAAAAAATACTGGAGCGTGTGTTGTGTTAAGAGTTCCATCATTTCGGACTGTTTGTGAGGCTGTGATTGTGTGAAGGCTGAGTTTTGTCTTGAGAGATGATGACAAATCTAGGGGATGCGGGCCCGCGGCAAATAAGAGGGACTCTGTGCCTATTTCATATTACCTTATACTTTTAAACTGATAGGCCAGTCCACCTGGCTGACGTACACTGTAACAGAAGTTTTTTTCCAGTTCAATTAAGCGGGTATGATTTTCTCTACTGAATCTTAGACTGAATAATCTGTCAGCTATTTTGGTTTTCAAAATTTGACATTCAACAGGGTGCCAGCCAGACATCTGTGAAAAGTGTCTGTGTCACTCTTAGGTTAGCCTAGCATTTAGCATAGGTTTCCCATCTTTTCGTGTCATCCCTTCGTGAGTATGACATTCGTCAGACGTTTATTCGCCACCACACAAGTGAGAATTCATTACTTAGCAGCAACTCCAAAACCTTTTTAGGCGCAATAGTAGCCAGCCGAAGCGGTTGCTAGCAAGCTGCTTTTGCATAAGGAGTGAAAAGGTAGGTAACATTCAGGCCAACAATATCACTTTTGCCTTTGTTTTTTTACAGGTAGTGTAGATGCACATCAGGACTGATATATCTCTGCTCTTATTAGGTGCTGTGCTGGTTAGTGGAGCCAGTCTCAGCAGTGATCATGTCCATGTCGAGTGCCGCCCTCACAGACTTGCTCCAGGAGCTTCAGGGCAGTGAAGGTCAACTTGCTACAGTACTGCACAACAAGGTACACACACTTGTATATAACATGCCAAGACGCAACTGATTACGCATTAAATGCTGCATGATAATGAATGGAACTCCCACATGTTGAATTAGATTCAACAGGACAATAACTATACTGTAGTATTATTATCATCTTGAATTTCAGTTTTTAATCCTAAATTATTTTTGTCTTGGTAAAATGGAGTGAGCCCACGGTCTTATCATTGCATAGAATTTTTGCAAACACATTCGTAGAGTGAATTATACATTTGTAAATAGTTTTAATACAATAATGTCTCCATAGTGCCTCTTTATCCATTCTGCAGACGGTCCGCTCGAGTGGCAGAGCTTATCTGTCTGTCTTTACGTTTCCAATCTTTGCTTTGGGGAGTGTAGGGTTTCCATGGGGTCCTAAAAAGTTTTCAAACCACTGAATTCATGAATTTGGAAATAATACCTTAAAAAGTCTTGGGGGCGGGGGGGAGAATCTAGATTTATTTATTTATTTATTTATTAAATTGGTCTTAAATTTTATGCTCTATATCAGAGGTCCCCAACCGCCGGTCCGCGGACCAGTACCGGTCCGCCGGGCATTTGGTACCGGGCCGCACAGAAAGAACTTAATTCCGTTTTATTTATTTCGGAAAACGAAAGATGTTTTATTTTGAAAAACTACCCGATTCTCCGTTACATCCGTCTGTGTCACGCTTGACACATGTCAAGCCACGCTTCTCCATCACGTGACCGATGACAGTACTTCAAAACAAAACGCAGGAGCTCGCAAAATGAGTTAAAAAAAACTGCTGGAGATCGCAATTGAGGTGTCATTGTCTCCTATTACCCCGAGATGGGACCGTCTGGTTGCAGAAAATCAAGCTCGGTGCTGTGGTGAGTCGTCATTTTCATGCACTTTGAATTTGCGTTGTATCGTATTTTGAAGACATTAAACATTGCCATAGCGATCGGAGTGTTGCGGCCAGATTAGACGCTCCTTGTGTATATTATTATATTTCAAAAACGCCACCATTTTCATGCAGCTCATACCATATTATTTTGTTGTATTATTTCCGCCACACCTTAAATGCCGGTCCCTGAAAATATTGTCTGACATAAACCGGTCCGTGGGGCAAAAAAGGTTGGGGGCCCCTGCTCTATATAACCTCTCCGTGGAGAGTCCATAAGGCCTTTTTAAGATTGGCTGTCCTTACATTTCACCACTGGAATCTCTATTTGAGTCAACATTATTTTAATACCGCCAGTAAAAAAAAAAGAAAGAAAAGAAAGTCTACAACAGGTTAGCACACAAAACCATATACATAAACAGTGTGGACCACTTTATACACAAAAAATATCAGTTATGAACAGAGTGAACAACTTTACACACAAAAGAAATACTTTATTCATGTTGGGCCACTTGCTGCTGCTTCTCCTCAAACTGCCCCTTATAGGTGGGATACCCCAAAAATAAGACCCGTTTGTCAAAGGTGGTACTGGCCAGAGCAGTCCTCTTTCGATCCATTTTGCCCAAATCGGTTGAAATGAACTCTTGGCCGCCTCGCGTCGGTGTTGAAAATGGACATAGTACGTCACATGCAGGTGCATCAATAAGCAGAGGCAGCGAATAAAGCAAAAAAAAAAAAAAAACGCGCGTGCACACGCACACGCGCACGCGGTATGGGACGGGACTGAGAGGCATACAACACAGCCAGCTTTCTTAACTGGATGGATTGAATTGTTACAACTGTTTAACTGTCAACAAAGGCATAATATACCTGCCAACACAACCGTCGGTCACCAGACTGCCTCGCGATGTGTAAATCTTTAAAACGAAGGACGAGTGCTCCTCATCCTGTCAGCTTGAAGCGCCATTAAGTCACTCCCTCCCGCATACAAACATGGTGAACACGCACGAGATAAGCGGCGCATCACAATCATGTATTGGCAGATTATACGCGTAAGACAGACTTGCTAGTGAAATGGGTGTTAGTAACTACAGTAAACATTCTCTAGTACGGACTCATGTTTGCGCTGTCCAATCTGTCCTTATAACAGAATTTCCTTATTTGGGAAATGAGCATGGTACATGTCCTTTATGAACCTGTAAGTATGTTGACAAAATGCATGTGTAACAACACAAGCAATAAAATGCAAAAATATACTGTCCAAAAACTGTTTATATAACAAAAACAGCAGTACAGTATACAGTACAGGTGTAGAGTATTAAAAAAAAAAAACACAACACAGTACCGTACGTACAGTATTTTAATGTTGATTTTTTTCCGTCTTGGGAAAAAATGAGTCTATTTTGGGTTGTTTTGTTGGGTTGTTCTTCGTTTCGATGCCATGATCTACAGGACGTAAGTGAATAAAGTTAAAATCTTTCGCAATTACAGTAAAATGCATGGCAATAAAAAGTCACTTACACGTCGTCATTTCGGATCCGATGATAGAAAACGGCGAAGCAAACCCGTTTCTTCCGTCGTGTCTCCCGTTGTGTCGAGTGATTTTTTTTAAGCTAGGGCCGAGCTCTAGCTTAGTGGGCGCTGCTTTTTAAGCTAGTGCCGCGATCTACAGGACGTAAGTAAATAAAGTTAAAATCTTTCGCAATTACAGTAAAATGCATGGCAATAAAAAGTCACTTACACGTCGTCGTTTCGAATCCAATGACAGAAAACGGCGAAGTGAACATGTGTCTTCCGTTGCATCGGGTGGGGGCTGCGTGTATTTAAGCTCCCGCGGCCTTCCGTCTCCACCCGGGTTACGGATAGTGGAATTTCCGCTAAAGTAAGTTCCGGTAAAATGTAATATTGTAGTCAAAATGTTAATGCATAGGGTTTTATTCCGGGTGAAGGAAATTCCTTTTCATAGAATTCCAGAGATGGGAATATTTACTCTATCATATTTTCCACACGAAAAGGCGCACTGGATTTTGAGGCGTACCTTCAATGAATGGCCAATTGTAATTTTTTTCATATATTGGACGCCGCACTATAAGACGCAATCTACATTACATCCACTAGATGGAGCTACGCTCAAGGCAATGCCAACAGAACTGCAGCAACGCCACTCGAGTGAAGCGCGCCCCAGCAGTCCATAGTCCACTGCTCTCTGCTGTGCGCGCGTGAGCGTGAGCACGTACGCACGTGGTTCAACCAATTAGCGCCGACGCAACCCACGTCACAGATCAAAGAAGCTTTGAACAAACGACAACAAATAAGATAGCTTAGCTGTTGAGTGGCATTGCGACAGAACGATCACATGTCAGTAAAACTTATTTCATAAAGCAGTGACACAGTTCACTTAAGCAACAGCAAGTTATAACATTGACTCGTTAACATTGAACTCTCTTGGCGTTGCTCTATTTCCGTGTTCAACTGCGTAACCTAGTGATGGGACGAGCGACACTGATGCGTCAGCACCGTGCCGAGAGCTCAAGAGTGAAACCCCGTATCGGTGCGTGTATTGCTTTAAGAAAGAATCACGTGACCAATACAGGAACTGAATCGTTTGAATATGCTGCGCCAAAGTGTGTTTATAAGGACACAAATTGTATCAACATGTCGTGGGTTTGTTGGCTGGAGCTTTGCGAAATTATGGATCATTCTAAGAAGTTTTCCCCAGTGTGGAATAATTTTGATCTTGGTAAATCTTTTTCTCCTTTGAGCATTGTTTACTGTTATATACAATTTTTTTACGGTGGTGCATTGCACCCACTTTATCAGTTTATCAAGTTAATGACCTGTTATACATATGATAGTCAGTTAAAGAGCCTTACAGTTGCTTTATTCATTTTATCTTATAATTGCGAGATCCTCCATAATTGAAGTCCAACGCTGCCTGTCAGAAGCAAACACACCCAGAAAACAAGACCCTTTACAAGATTGGAAATGGAACCAGAAAACATATCCACATCTGCATCAACTTTCATTTAAAACTCTCTGCTCACTATCGTCATCTGAGCCATGTGAAAGAGTATTTTCTGAGGCTGGGGAACGTCTCAGAGGAGAAATTAATTGCCTTGGAGCAAAGACACTCCAAAAACTTTTGTTCCTCAATAAAAATTCATAAACTAATCACTTTTTTTGTCTTTTATTTCACATGATTTAACATAAATTTTCTACGGCAGTTAAAAATCTGAATTGTAACTCAAATTTGCTGTATTTTACATACCAACTCAGTTTAAGATTTATATAAACAAGGAATTTCTTTACCTGCAATGATTTTATAACTACTGCAGGGGTCACTATTGGGTGACCAACACAGTGTCAATACACCGCTGACATAGTTTGTGAAGTGGGTCAATACACTCCTTGAGGTATCATCGTCCCATCACTAGCGTAACCCACTCGCCTTAAGTTTGAACTCTGCGTTGTAAGCATGTCTCTAGCAAGGAGCTATTTTGGGGTCGACATATTACATAATAACCATACACAAGGTGCATCGGATTTTAAGGCACGCTGTGAGCTTTTAAGAAAATGGAAGGCTTTTAGGTGCGCCTTTTAGTGCGGAAAATACGGTACTTGATTCGCTTAGGGACGGATGAAAACCCACTTCGTCCTTACTTTTAAAAAACTTCGCGTCCTCCGTCCCCAAAATGGGTCCCGAACGGACAGACGGTTCCATCGCAGGGGCGGAATAGCCATCTCTAGTATTGCACTGTCATATTTGTAACAGGCCACAAAGGCTGAATGTGTCATTTTGTCTCTTTTCAGTTTGGTGTGACGCTGCTATATCTGATCTTGAGTGAAGGAGAGAGAATGCAAAGCTCCGACCCTAACTGTCAGCTCATGGATGACAATCGATGGTGAGATCTCTTCTGAGGTGTTACTTTGCTCTTATTTGTACTCTCATGGATTACATGTTTGGCCATGCCTTTTTAAATATGTTTGTTGTTCTTTTTGTCCTCACTACTTGTTTCAACCCCTTTCTCCTTCTCCAGGACAGAGCTGGTGTTTTCTGTCACCAGGGAATTGCTCAGCATCCCCACTTCATCACTTTCATCTCCTCTCTTCACACCTACCAACCTGATTGCCCTCTTTTCACGCTACATTGACCGACAGCGCTTGGACTTGTTACAGGAAAAGCTACAGTAAGTCAGATCAATGTACACACCACATGGATGGAGAGCTTAAGGTGTTCATTCATTGTGTCAGTTCTCCGGTCGACGGGACGGTCATCTCGGCCTCGTTGCGGCGCGTCTTCAACGGACGTCAAAATATGTGAAAGGGTCTGTCTGTGGTGCAAAAAAACTTCAACTGTGCTAAATCAGCTAGCAGCAGCACATGGTCTCATATTCCAAGTCGGTGGTGGTCAATTAATTTATCGAAGCTACTATGTGGAAAAATTCAAACGGTTGCTGCTTTTGATTTGTTTGTTTTCAAGCAGTAAATTTTATCGTCACATGTGTACCCCTGGTATAGCTTGTTGTAATTAGAAAATTACAATCCAAAATTGGTAGAAAAAAAAAATCTGCCACAATAAAATAACCGTTTCCCACATTACATTAAATCTCTATTTAATAAACATCCATCCATTTCTCCATTCTCTACCATTTATCCGGGGTCGGGTCACGGGGGCAACAGCCTGAGGATGGAAGCCCAGACTTCCCTCTCCCCAGCCCTTCTTTCAGCTCTTCCCGAGGGATCCCGAGACGATGTCTTCCAGGCCAGCCCGGAGATATCGTCTCTCCAGCGTGTCCTGAGTCGTCCCAGAGGCTTTCTGCCGGTGGGGCATAGTACTATGACAATTAGGAAAAAGTGCAAAAGATTTCTCCAAAGACGGTTGTACATCAGTAAGTGTGGGTTTTTCTTTCATTAACCCATTTAATCCCACCGGTCACATTTGTGAAGGACAACATTGATTTAATTTACAGGGCTCTAAACATTTTTATTTCTGATTACTGAAAAGGGCGACCAATGGCACCTGATTTTTACTTTTAAATGTCTGGGAAGAATTTGGGATTAAATGGGTTAACAGAGGGATTCCAACAATTTTGTCCACATGTGTCTGTGTTTGTTTTCTTCATTCGGAATGCAGGCCACACGTTTTACAAACAGACATTGTTACCTTGACTCACAAGCCTGTAGATTTTTTTTTCTCTTTCTCTTTTTGTCTAGTGACCCAAAATATAAATTATGAACAGTGTTGCTCAATGGCAGCGGCAAACAACATCACCAAATCTGCCCAGCATTCCGCATCTCACTAACAATTTCAGACATGCGTAAATTGAGTTGTGATTTGTGTCACAGAATGAGTAAAGCTCGCAAGTCAAGGTACCACTGCGTTATTTTTAAGTAATCTCCATTTAGTGGCCAATGTATTGTTGGTTTTTTTTCATCACTTCAGTTTCTAAGAAAATATTTTCTGTTTTTCTCAGGATCTCTGACTTGTCCAGGTAGAAGTTTCTACATCATCAATCCAGCCCACCCCACACTTGAAGACCTGTGTGTGTGTGTGTGTGTGTGTGTGTGTGTGTGTGTGTGTGTGTGCGCGTGCGTGCGTGCGTGCGTGCGTGCGTGCACGTGTGTAGGCGCATGGTATCATTGAGTCATTTTAATCCTGTGTGTGCGTGCGTATGTTTATGGGATAGAGAACGAGGGGTGCATTTGAATGAATGGACAACAGTTTTATGAATAATTAAATCTGCATTTTTAAAATCGTAAATCTTGTTTACAATTATGCCTATGTTGAACCTTCAAATTAAAAATTATTTGTATTATATAAAACGTGCCCTCATATCTTCTTGTCCAGTTCTTTTAGTGCAACCATAATCACAGACAAACCCACAAATATTTAGTAAGTAGGAATTAGAAGAAAATAGTCATTAGGATGAACTAAATTTATTCACGTTTGTAAATTCGTATTGGAGTGCGTATTAGGAGTAACGCCTTTGAAAGGTAATCGGTGTCTGGTTTGTAAAAAAAAAAAAAAAAAAAATGGGAAGGTGTGGTTATACCTTTTTTAAGTTGACATCATTGGAGACTTAAAGTTGTCTCAACCTTAGCCGTGTAATGAGAACAAATCGGAGCGCTTTCCTACGCGAATCCTGGTTCAAATGTTGGTGTGGACACTTGGAGGTTGGTTGTCAACCTGCTCCTCATCAAAAGTGCCTTGGGATAACCTTTGATTTGACGCTTTATACATGAATAAAATTGGCTTACTCATAGAAATCGAGCCTTGAGTTTGTTTTGTTTTTTAGTTTCTCACCAAATCTAATGTGCACATCTTGGAAAAAAAACATTTGACGAGACATTAATGCCTCACAGTCAGTCACTGAAAAGCACTGCATCAATTCGGAAGGAAGGCTCAAAATGAAGATTCAACCATCCGGCAGTTTTCATTCATGCTTTTTATACTCAATAAAGTTAGAATAACTGATATTCAAGCAGATAGTTTCCTTAAAGACTCTTTAAACAATTTTATTTGCATTGGTTGAGATGATAATTTTGCACACTTGATTTCTGTTGAAGTGAAAGGCCCAAGGGAAGACCCTGTATAATATTGGTAAGGATCCAGGAATTTCATTTCACTTTGGTGACAAAATGGGGGCTTGCTATATGTAGAAGGTCCACGAAGGTGCACAATTTGATGCTGATTAATACTGAAATGTGATCAACTTTCCAGAGAGGTCCGTTAGGTGTTTCTAGTATAAGTCCAACAATAATACAAAATGATGTCAAATGTTTTCTGTTTAATACAGGCAAAACCGTTTAAAAAAATTAATCACAAGTATCTCATTGTTTTATTTCTGAAGGGTTTCTGGAGCTAATTAACACTATTCTAGCAGTGGTGCACTGCTTAAAAATGCAAAATGTAGAAAAAAAAATGCTCTTTTGAGTCATCACTCAACATTTGTCACCTCCTTTATTTCCCCTGAAAAGGCCGGGCATAGACCAGCTAAAATTGTCTCATCACATTTCACTTGGATCTAAACCACGGTACCCAAGATAGGAAGAAGCGGTCGATAAGGATATGGCTCCTTGAGCTGCGTGCCGATGGGGACGCTCCCTTCCTGGAGGCAATGCGTCAGCACATTGTGTGTGAACAGCTCGAAAATCAAAACAAGGATGTGTTGAATACGCTTGCAGCCATCACCGTACAATCACACCAAGCAAACTGGGACCCTTACATTCGTTTGTGTGTGCGTGTGCGCATATATATATATATGTATATATATATATATATATATATATATATATATATGCGTCTTTTGAACATGTAATTATGTGCGGCCTGGTCTGTGGAAAGACTTGACCGAACACAAAATAATTTATATGTGATCAACTTTATTATTCCCCGACTACATAGAAAATGCACAGCGTTAATAAGATAAAAGACTGCGATAGGTCAATTGGACAAAAAGTATGCACAATAGACAACTGTCATGGCTTGTGAACAGTTTCCGGCGTGTTGGGTGTACATGAGACATACGGAAAAGCAACAACTAATCTCCCCTACTGCACGGCTGTTCACATGATTCGTGCCACCACGCCGCAGCATTCAAACTCCCAAACGACGATATTCTGAACAACCATCCATGCTCACACTCACACCTAGGGACAATTTAGAGTGTTCAATCAGCCTGCCATGCATGTTTTTGGAATGTGGGAGGAAACCGGAGTACCCAGAGAAAACCCACGCAGGCACGGGGAGAACATACAAACTCCACACAGGAAGGCCGGAGCTGGAATCAAACCCACTACCTCTGCACTGTGCGGTCGATGCACTAACACACAGGTGTCAAAGTCGAGGCCCGGGGGCCACATCTGACCCGCCACATCATTTTATGTGGCCCGCGAAAGCAAATCAAGCATTTCAACTTCCATAATGCGTGCTAAAGTCTGAACTAAAATTTCAAATTGTCACATGTAATCCATAATCACGTGGAGATATGGCAAGCTTTTTTTTTGTTTCCAAACCCCTTATTCCATTAAGGTAAACAATGATGAAGCAAGTCATTATTCTTGACTTCTGATTTCAAAACTAGGTATCCATCAATTTGTTGTGTGCTGTCGAGGTGATTAAACATTTATGTGGTTTCACAAAATTCACAGCCCTCCAAGGGAAACCATAACTATCATGTGGCCCGCGACAAAATGAGTTTGACACCCCTGCGCTAACCAATCGACACCGGGCCACTGACCTCCTAATTGTATGATGTAAATGGTATGCATGTAGCAAGCCTTGTTCAATCTAAAAGTGGTAGTTGATTAAAAACGATCTAATTTGCGTTTGTAATGAAATAATCTTGAATAATTGCATTTTAATCCAACAACATTTGTCCTAAAAAATTTGGGGGTCGAGGAGTAGTGGACAACTGAATCAAATAATCGATGCAGATGTAATATGTTTAACTGTGGTGGAAAAAAAGATTTAATTGAATTTCAATGTAAAACAAGAAAAAAAATATGACCAAAATTGTACAGACGGCTACTGAGATCCTCTGGCAGGCCATTCCACAAACGTGGGCCCTGACATACACTTGGTCTACTCTACTCCAATCATTAAGTTGGTAGCCGGAGTTAGCAAAAAGCGATGGACGATTTGCTGCGCATGCGCGCGCAGACCGTACACGGGACGCAAATCGACTGCCAAAGGGGCAGTCTCCTGTAGCCCTCGATGAAATTTCGGGTGGGAGGAGTTAGCGTGTAAACAGAGGAGTTGGGATGTCAAAAGGATAAAATAGCTAAATTAGGTCAGGCGGGAAATCCGGAAGACCATAAACCTTCCACACCAGGTACACTCAATTTGTATCACTAATGTAATACTTACTAAATTGTATAGCAACAGGTGGCTCCGTGGCGCAATGGATAGCGCATTGGACTTCTAGACGTGGCGAAGTGATTCAAAGGTTGTGGGTTCGAGTCCCACCGGAGTCGCATTTTTGCAGTTTTGAATTTCTTTCCTTTACTCCACATTTCTCAATACTGTACAACGTAACCGAATTCGCTTTCAAAAGAGTTAACGGCTTCCTCATGAATATTACCTTCGTCAAATTTTGTATTTTATGTTTACATTTCATTCATTGTCGTTATGATTTTAATGAAATGAAATGCAAACCGAAGAATGTAATTGTTTGAGCAATTTGGGGGGGGGGGGGGGGGGGGGCGGGGGAACCCCCGGTAAAATTGGTGAGCGTAAGCGGGCAGGAGACCCCACCAAGACCCAAAACGTTAGTGTTTATTCTCACCAGTAGATGGCGTAAATACAAAGGTGGGACAGAGCGGCAACGCGTTATGCCGCTGAACACGAGACAACAGGAGGACAGAGAACAAGACAGCTGGTTGGGAGAAGACTGAAATCATGAGAATGCTGATGAAATCATTGTATTTTCTTTTTCACGTGGCTGTCACGGTGGGGGTAAGAAATCCCATCTCATTCTTAAACGCTGTTGTACGAGTGCATTTTTATTGTCGTCAGAGAGGGGTCGCCACAGCTAGTTGCTCGTATGATTTGTTTTAAATCTTATATTGCACAATGCAATGAGATCCGATAGAATTGTTCTTTGACAAATGAAAATGCTTTGTCGTGACTTTCATTAACCAGGTAACAGTCATTCTTTTAAAATTTTACAGAAAAAATAAAACCTATCAGTAGTGGGCCGTCAATGGATGAATCAGACAAAGATCATCATATTTCAAATGGATTTACCATTAATTATTTGTTTTTTTTTTTTTAATTATTGTCTGTTTTGGACCTCCTCATGTGACGAAACAATGTCTAACTAATATATGATAGTAGTAACAGCCACATAGAGAAATGGGATCACTATTTGTGAAAGTCCATTAGTCGTCGGTCTACTCTCAGGTTGATGAGCTTGTGCGGCCTGATTCCTTGCCCAGGTACCTGTGCCATGTGATGTGGCGGTGGTCCGCCTTCAGGCAGAGATTGAGGAGTTGACAAATGTGATCAATGAGCAGCACCGATACATCCAGGTGCTCCACAACCACCAGGCTCAGCAGCTAGAGCACATCCCCAATTCACATCTGGGCACCCAAAATCTCTATCGAGGTACTCATTTCTTTCTGCCAGCTCACACCCCAAAATACGAAATAACTGTGGATGACAATTAAATGTCTTATTACCATAAAATATCATATGTAAATAGTCTGCGCATTTTCGTAGTATGATTTGGTACGTTTGGTCCTCTGAAGAAATTGCAGAACCATCATAAATTCAAGTTCAAGTTCAAATCAACTTCATTGTCAAATGTGCTGCACATATGAAATTTCTTTCCTCTCAAGTTGTCCACTGTAGTAACCGCTGTCCCTGAAAGGGTTAATGACCTAAGTGTGAAAAAGCTTGTAAAAGGTCTGTTATTATTATTTTGTTGTTGTTGTTGGTTTTTTAATTTTTACACTGTGGTAGCCTTGAATCTAATCCAAAACGTATCCTCATGAGGGTTGCGGTCGCGTTGGAAGCTATCGCAGCTGACTTCAATCAGGAGATGAGGTATCCGCTGAACTGGTTGCCATCCAATCGTAGGGCATAATCCAAAATGCTCTAGTCAATTATATGATTTAGAATATACTGTATCTAGAAAAAAAAGTATGAATAACTTTAAATATGAAAAATAATGAACAAAAAAAGATTTTGCATTCATTTTTCACATCAATAGTATTTTCATTGGTGTCATTTCCAGCTATAACACTCCATTCAATCCATCAATTCAAAATGTGATCTGCAGGGAATATGTTTTGGGCTTATCTGTATTTCCTCAACTTGACGTGTGTGTGTGTGTGTGTGTGTATGTGTGTGTGTGTGTGTGTGTATGTGTGTGTGTGTGTGTGTGTATGTGTGTGTGTGTGTGTGTGTATGTGTGTGTGTGTGTGTGTGTGGACTGCTGATGGAAACACGGCCAGTGGCTTGTATGTGATTCGCCCCGATGGCTTCCCCACAGCACTGAGCGTCTACTGTGACATGAACAACGGAGGAGGGACAGCAAAGAGAACTTTAATCGGTGTGTGCATGACTTTGCGAGTACAGAAAAAATTCCAACACCAATCACTGAAGTCGTAATAAGTAAATGGTCTTTGAATGCAGAGCGTGGGTGGAGTACAAGCATGGCTTTGGGGATCTGCATTCTGCGAATGGAGAATTCTGGATGGGCAATGATGTTCTACATCATCTCACCTCACAAGGTGTGTTGCTCGACAGGCTGATTTGTCACAAGTTAGAAGCTAGCTAATAAAAGCTCTTCTAGGAAAGTATGACCTGCGCATGGCTGTGGAAGACTTTGATGAGAAAGAAAGCTTTGCAGAGTACAAGAACTTTAAAGTGGACAGTGAAAAGGTAAAGTTCACATCCCCCTTATCTTTAACCTCGCCTTTCCTTCTTTTCTCACAACAGCGCTGCTCTTATTTCGTCTAAGCTTTGCTGTTTCTGAGCACACGCAAAAGTGGATGGTTATGGCCTTGCTATCTGTGTGAATTCTTAAATGACAGCTTCCTTTTTTTTTTTTTTGTTCATCTCCAAAGATGGATTCGAGGTCCGGGTGCTGCCACAAAAGAAACTGTGTATTTCAGCTACTGGTTTTCCCGGTCAGAGTAATCCATATGGAGTCTGACCAATTTTTTTCCAGCATTCTCTGCCTCACTTTAACGCACTCCTGGCATGATTCTTCTTCTTGGATCCTCTGCATTCTTCTCAGCCAGGAAACGTCACAGTCAAATTCATGCCCTTTCTCAAGCACTGAACAAAACAAATGCTGCAGGATCAATTAAATGGGGAAATCAGTTTGGGTTTGAATGTGTACATATTGTGACGACTTTTCTGATACCTCTTCTGCCACTTTTGAATCCACTTTGATGCTCGTTTTAATGATCTCATTTACCGTATTTGACCATTTTCACAAATGTTGGACGTGTGGTTCTGCGCCCCGTCACTTCCCGGTTATGACATCAAGTTCTGACGCTGAACTTTATTTTTCCATTTTCCTAACTGATCCGGCGAAGGATTTGTACCGCTTGCACTTGGGGGAGTACAACGGGAATGCAGGGGATGCCCTGGCTGACCTGCACACCATCAAGCAACCAGGCGCAGGCAGCAGTTTGGCCGGGGTCAAATTCAGCACCTACGACAAGCAACCTGATGGAGATGGCAAGTGCATCAGGCACAGCAAGTCAGGCTGGTGGTTCAGCAGGTCAAAACAACGTTTTCTCATTTCTGTGAATGCACCACGCAGAAAAACGTAAAACGGGTTCCAAAGTATTTTTCTTCTCATATCGTGAATTCTTGTGTTCAGGTGCGATTCAGGGAACCTGAACGGCCATTACGACAAAGGACCGTACCAAGCGATGACCAACGACGGGATTGTGTGGTACACCTGGCACAGGTGGTTGTACTCCATCAAATCAGTGGTCATGATGGTACAGGCTGCTGACCTTGAGCATCCACAGGCCATGGTCCCGGGACAACTGGAGCCGAAGAAAGCGGCAGGCCCTGATCACCCATTTGGCCAGTAAGCTGAAAAACATGCTAACTTTACAGTTCCAATGTAGTAGCCCGTATTATGTAGACTGTTGTACTTCTGTCGCTTCAGTTTTTGCCATGACAGCATCATTGTAGTTGGTGTGCAACAATTAAAACATTACTCCAATCGGATGCCAAACTGTATTTATCCTGTTTTCAAAATAAAAGAGTACATACGGTACTGAGGCATTGTGGGTGTGTGTACATTTGAAGTTTTTGAGGATGAAGAGAAAAGGTCAAACTTAAAAGGCCAGTGATTCAAAATCAATGTTTTCACACCGTGGGTAAGGTTGGTCAAGTGTGACACTTAGAAGTGATCAGCTACTACATCAACAAGGGCTTTAAGTGATTCTACAAGGTGTCAATCTGCGCTCTTCCCCGGCACTTAGGGAACGGCGGGAATATCATTTTCAGCATTTTGCTGATTGGAATGGGAGGTGCTAGGGTCTAATCTGGCCTGCACAGACATAGTGTAACATCCGAGGAGAATTACATTCCACACACAGTAGAGAAAGGATGGAAGATTACATTAAAGAGGAAGTTCAAGTCTTTGAGTCTGGGGTCTGTTGAACAAATCCGAAGTACAATTTCTCATCTGCTCACGTTAGCATGGAAAAGTTCATTCACTTCTTCCAGAGATCTGAACCAGACCAGTGATTGAGCTTTGCTCTTTGGAGAGGAAACTGTCCCCGTTGAAAAGAAGAATCAAGGCTAACGATCCTTGTCAAGCCACAAACGTGGCAATGACAGATTATGCTTCGCAGACCAAACACAACCCAAGAAACTTTCCCAGCTTCCTCCTCATCGGGTATTAAACAGAAAAATGGTAGCTAGCCAAAACACTTGAGCGCTGTGTTACAGTATATACAGACCCTGAGTCATGCCCGCAATTTTCTTGAGGGGGAAAAAAAAAAGAGGACGTTTGGTGGCATTTGGTTGTCAGGAGCTCAACAAGCCCCACGCTCACATCGAAGTGCATCTGCGATGCCTCTTCTTTCAAAGCAAGAGTCTTTGACTGCAAACAGTTCAAAATGCTTGAGCGATGCATCCAACGCCGTACGTCCAATGTTTGGATCATCCCCTCCTTCCTCGAGCCGTTTAGAGGAGAGGAGGACAGCGTTATCTCGGCGATAAGGGCGCGGCGGCAGGGAAGGAGGCAGAGTTCCGCGGCGAGCCGAAGGGCGACGTGGGGGAGACGCGGCGCGGGCTCCCCAGCAGGTCGCCGTTATGCAGCTTCCACAGCAGCTCCTCGTTCTCCATCGACAGACGCTTGTTGACCTTGGACTCATTCTGCAACGTCTGCTGGAGTTTGGCCTGCTCGCTGGACAGTTGCCTGCGGTCACAGCGGCGCAACACCGGTTTTCAAACGCTCATCGGCAGTGAACATACTGGAGACCAGGTTAACATGCGCAGGCGTTGATTGTTTTTCTTCGCTGGTGAATGTCTACATTTTTTTAACTATGTCGCAGACAGAATGATCAGCCTTACTTAAAGTGTGTCTCCGTCATGTTTTTCCTAATACACTCATCGCCCACATATTTACAGTTGAGGCCCATCTGGAGGCGTCGTCTCGCCAAGGGACTGTGAAATTGCATTGATGGGCTCCATTTAGACAAAAGTAGTCCTTTGCTACCCTATTCTGGCATCTGTGGGCAATTACATGTTGAAACCTTTCTTGTAGATTTTCCCTATTGATTGTTTTACGCTGCCTTTTCCAAACCTAACTTTCTTCAGGAATTTACTCTAAGAGGTTACAGTGTCACCTGTTGGCTTACTTGTGAGGAAATATGTTTGCGTGAAAAAGTTTATTCATGTCTTTTTTTTTTAAATGTACTTCATATTCTTGTGCATGTGGGTAGCCATTCCCTCACATGAAATAAGTGTTGATACATCCAGTGCGAGACTACCATTTAAGACACGCTGGTTTATCAAGCCAATCACTAAGTGACAGTGAATATCCGACACACAAAATAGTGACACAAACACACGTATGAACCCACTTCGAGAGAGCGGCATGTTTGTCCATCCTGGCTTTGTAGTCCTCGTTCTCCTGTTGAACTTTGGTCAGGCATTCCTCCAGTTTCACATTTGTCTCCACCTGGGACAGACACACAGACACACACACATACACACACATGGTCACCCTTCACCATTTTTTTCTTTTGGAATGATGATCAGCTTAAAGCGTGAACGCCACGAACCAGTTTGTCCATTTCCATGAGCTTCTTTTCCTTTTGGTGCAGCTGGTTATTCTTGATTTCCAGCACTACCTTCAAACTTTCAAGCTCTTGCTCAAGGTAAAGAGTGTGGGAGTCCTTCTGCAAACACACGCGCACGCACAGCATATCATCAAACAGTACAAAATGTCGCCCTCATGGAGCTGTAAGGAAGTATGGGTATAGATTGTGCATGACCACCTAACGTTTTGATTTTTCGTCACTGTCAAATGCACACCTTCCATTCTGGTCAGTCGCAATGTCATTTTCGTCAAGGAGTTGAGCTTTTGTGAAGCTGCTGGCAAGCGCAATTATTGTGCGCCCCAGCAGAGGGCAGCTGCGTTCATATCTGCTCTCCCTTGGTTCTACTCATAGTGTGGGTTATTATTCACTAAGAGGAAAATTGTCCCGTTCACGTGTCTTTCTTACGCACTTTCAAGGTGCAGGGTTTCTTCCGTCGAGTTTTCTAACACACACACACACACACACACACACACACACACACACACACACACACACACACACACACACAAACACACGTGCGCCGGTGAAGCGCGACCCATTGAATTCTGAGGATGCCCAAAGTTCCATGTTTTCCTTTCTTTTGTGTTCAGCACTAAATCTGATGAGACACATATTGATCAACTGAAAACATCCCCAAAATGTGTATTGGACCATCCCATACTTTTTTGCTTTTGTACTGCAAGTCTGTGGCTTTTCAGCATTAAAATGATCAAATCAAGGAACTACAGCCAAGGCCTTTAGTCTAATTGAATGTTAACTTTCAACACATCAGTGTGCAGGACATTTCTCAAAATGTAATTTATTTATGTACCGATAATTGCTTGGTGACTCGAATGGCACCAATTTGGTTGACTAGCCCATATAAGCCTTACCATAAAATGAGGGATTCCTCTGTTTGACACATTTGATACGTTCAATGCTAAACAATACAACGACATTGTCATTTATAAGCTTGTACGTGCTAAAATGACAAGTCCGTGCAGCTACGTAGTTGTTGGGGAAGTGCGTGCGTGACTTCTCTCATCAAGAAAACGACACAATTGATTTATGACCTCGTTAAATGCAACCACTGGGGGAACAAGCTTGCTTGTCTCCAAATACTTCGACTTGAAGTGAGGTCGTTCAGATGTGTCGCACCTACCACAAACCTGTGCGGTGCCCTCTCAACTCTTTGACGATGCCGTTTAGCAAGGACGCTTCTTTATATTAGGCCAGGCGGACGTGTTCAGGAGTATCCTTTTGTTGCCCTCCCTCCAAACAATCTATAAAGTCAAACCCGCCGCTCTGCTGCTGCCTGGAGGGGAGCTGCCGGCAGGGGAGCTGCCGGCAGGGGAGGAGATTTATGTCTGTCTGTCTGTCTGTCTGTCTGTCTGTCTGTCTGTGTGTGTGTGCCTGCAGCTCCGTTAGAGTCACTATCCAAAATAAAAGGAAAAAAATCAGTTATATAATATTGTGAATATGAAACTAGGCTATTATGTTGTATTTGACAAGATAGTTGCACAATTGCATTATTTTGTAGCTGTTTGATCTTTAAACGTTTAGAAAATGAATAAAACCGATCTTGTTCAACCGATACCGAATCAGTTGAAGGTCATGTGATCGGATCGAGGCATCTCCAATATTTGGAGCTAGTGAGCCAGCTGTTGTTTAGGCGTTGCCTAGCAACACTTCCCGGCATGCTCGCGCACGCACGCACACACACACACACACACAGCACTTCTATGGCTATCATAACCGGCATATGTCTCATTACAACTAATGATTCAAAATGTAACTTGCCATTGCCACCCTTATTAAAACAACTGCATTTGTTGTGAGCTGCGCTTTCAGACAAACTTCAAGACACCTGCATCAGTCAGTAGCTACTCAGTCACTATCAGTGGAGCATGGGAAGCAATTCATTGAATAAAAACGTGCAATATGATGTTTCACCTTCATGAGGCACTAGTTCTTAGTCGAGCCTCCTGCACGCGGAAGAGGAAAGATGCTTAGTTAAGTCTGTGGGAGAATACACTCAAACGCGAGATGTGACAGGCGACGCCCTCATTTAAATGAGCTCAAAAAGTGCACACAGCAGTGCGGCTCTTCGGACTCAAAGTACTGGGGGAATGCGCCCATAAAGAGAGCGAAATGACAAAGCAGAAGAGTCATGTGATGCCATGTTTTAACGCTGGGAAAATCATTACCAGATTCTTGTCTGCGAGCATCCGCCTCTCTTCCTCTGCTTTAAGCTTTTCATTCAGGGCGGCGTTTTCTGCTGACAGCTCACATATTTTGTCCTGTTAAGAGGAAGAAATGTGGATGAAAGGCACACGGAAAGAAGAATTTACAACTACGTTTCAGTGAACTGTTCCTGTGCGCTGCTATGACAGGCTAGTGAACAAGTTTAGTAAAGTTGTTACGCAACATCATTGCTTTGACATGCAGCATTTAGGCTGCAGAATTTGCTTAGAAAAACAGAAAAAGTTAACTTAGTCTTACAGAAAAAGTTGTTTCTGTTTCTTTTAGTGTTTTGTCCAGGTTCTCCAGATCCATTTCCTGAGTTCTCTTCAGTTCTGAAATGAACATTTGGAGGAGCACACATTTACACGAGATGTAAATAGGAGTATAAATCTGAAGCGCTTGTTATCTGTTTCGTGTTGCGGATTGATGGACACACCTTGTAGCGAGCTCTCATGCTGCTCTTTGAGAGACTCAATCATTTGCCTGTGACTTACTTCCTGGTTCTTCCTCTCAGCTTCCTGCCTGGTCCTCATCTCCTCCACCTAAAAAGCAGCGGCACAAATCAAGTAGTCGATGATCAAT